AATTTTTTGATGGCTATCATATCTACCTGCATCCTGTTATTTTGATAATGTTGTTATGTTCTCTATAATTTTTTATACTGTCCTGATTTTTGTGTGTACTCAAAGGATGAAGTTAGTGCACTATAATTTTGTTGAAACCATGTGCTATTCCTATGTGTATGTTCAGGGAGTGGCAAGAGCTACTTGGCAAAGTTTTTGCGTGATCTTGAGGTTGAAAATGGTGGCACTGTTCCGCGGGTCTATTCCATGGATGAATATTTTATGACTGAGGTTGAAAAGGTGATTTTATGTTTGTGTCATCATGACGAAAGAAGTTTGCTCATTTGGTCTTCGATACTATGATTTTATTTATTTGTTCACTGTTCATGTAGCATTATGCACATAAATGACTTGCCACATCCATTAGTGAGTGGCACACAGGAACCATAAGTAATCATTCCCGTTATCTAAGTTACAGGTTGAGGAGAGTGAGGGGCCGAGATCTTCTGGTTCAGTGAGAGGGAAAAAAACAGTTACAAAGAAGGTTATGGAGTACTGTTACGAACCTGAGATGGAAGAGGTTCCTTTCCACTCTACTTTTTTTCTTCTTATTGTACTTCGTTATGATATTGATGTAGCATATCTAGCTGTTTAGCTTATGATTTAGATGCAAGAAAGACGAAAGATGTCCCTTGCTCCTTATGCAGTATATTGCTAATAAAGTTTGTCTATGAAGCATTGATTTTTTAAAATATTTGCAAGCTCCGTTGTTTGAATTGAGGAGCTACTTTGTACCAGGCAATTTACATTTTGCCTGTTGCATATTGGGAAGTGATTTTTGTTCCACTTCAACTGTGACCAAACTCTGAGTAGGATATTTAAGTTAACTATTTGAAAATGAGCATTACCATTTGCATTAGATTTTAAAAAGTCGGTTGGTCTACCGGTAGGCTGCATTTAAGGTCAGCTTGCCGTGACATTTCCTGCTATTAAACTAAAATCTCACTCCGATGCATATATCGTGTCTGTCCACTCTGCCTATGTCAGTATACATTCATATTCATCTCCCTCTTCTCTGTGTGTGTGTGTGTGTTTGTGTGTGTGTTTTTTTTTTTTCTTTTCCAACATTGCTTATGTTTACAGGCATACAGGTCAAGCATGTCAGTATACATTCATATTCATCTCCCTCTTCTCTGTGCATGTGTGTTTGTGTTTTTTTTTTTCTTTTCCAACATTGCTTATGTTTACAGGCATACAGGTCAAGCATGTTGAAGGCATTTAAGAAGACCCTTGTTGAAGGGGCGTTTCCTTTTGTGATTGGTATGATCTTTGTGTGGACGAAGCACAATTTAGATTCATTATGTCATTTTTATCATTTTCATAATTTTTAAAGCTCATCTTATGTTTCAAATATATGTTTGCCAATGCATTTGTTTCAAATATATGTTTGCTAAATGCATTGGTTGTGTAATTAGGATCATTGGTTAATGTGTTCGTGATGCAATGATGTAAAATTTTCCCGTTCCCATTTCTTTCTTTGTTTTTTGTTTTATTGACCATCAATGGCACTTCTCTGTTTATAACAGAAGTCATGCTTATCTTTCTTGTATTGCTAGCTGTAGCTCCATTATGGTGGATAGTTTGGATTAGCTTAGCTTATGCATGTGTGGACAGTGAATTATTTTTCACTTTAAAATTTATTTCCACTTCTTTGTAGATGATAAAAATCAAATTCTCTGATAGTTTTAGCACCTAAGCACACAAAAGTAGTTGAAAAATGTAGCTGTAATTTAAATTAAGTGGTAATGCAGTGCTTTGCACTGGCTGGAGTTGACTAATTACAGATGCAGTTTATTCGGCAATTGACCCATTTCTTCTTGGTATTTGTCCCTCGTCTTAGTGGATGACCGCAATCTGCGGGTAGCTGATTTTACTCAGTTTTGGGCAACTGCAAAGGTATACTCTCAATTCTTTCTTGATGCGGCCTATCGGTGTGCATGTTTTCCTTTCTGGGAATACTTTAGTCTTCTATGTCCTGTAGTTTTTTCTTTCACATACTAGAATGACAAAAGATGCAGGTAACCTGTTTATAGTTGTCTAATTGTATTTGAAATTTGATCAACTTCTAGGGGACCTATCTATCTTTTTAGAGTAGCCAAAATTTATACAGATGAAAACTTAAGAGTTATAAAAAGCCATGACTCCCAGTCACTCTCATGCTTTCAGTAGCACTTTGCAGATGAGTTTTATGAATAGAAAGTTCTGTTTCAAGTATAAGCTTACATGGTCTTCTTTTTCCACTACAAGTCTGATAGATTTCGAACTGGCATTAGTTTGGGAAGGGTTGTAATTTACTTTACAGAATGGAGCTCAATGTTCTCTAGTAGATTATTGGATAAGTATTATCGGCCATCATTCTTCCTTTGTAGGAGAACATTATGAACAGAATTGATCTGATATATTTCTTGATGACGATGTTCTTTGTTGAACCACTGTATCATATTTCCTTATAGCATTAACAGTTCGTGAAGTTAACAGATCAAAGTATGCCAATTTGTGTTCTTTTTTAATTTCTGGTTCAGGGCTTTAGGTTTTGGCAAATTTGTCTACTCATTTGTTATTTTATGTAATTCTTTAGTAGTTCTGTAAAGTCACATTTGTGTTCTAATGAAGGGTAAATAAAATATATTCTATTTGGTTCAACTTCTTTTTTGCAATGTTCGAGTGTTGACTTTGTGTTTGATATACAGTGGCTGATTCCTGTAATATTTGAGTGGGTTGCAGTGACCAATTTACAATCAACGGATTATTTATATATACTCTAGCTTGTCTTAATAATTGAAATCGATTTTTTTGGATGTTGTTTTAGATATCATGACTTATAATATATTTTTCATGATTATTATAGTTAATCTTGCATAGATTAGCCCTACTTGATGTTTTATTGGATCTCATTTGATGTTGGCATTGTCACGACTTTGCATACAAGAAGTATCTGTATATGAGCTGATGGCATGAATTTTCTGGAACAGTGTTGTTTTCATAATTAAGTGTTTGTAATAATGGTCTGGTGCGCCTTGATTTTCACTTTTGGGGTCTTCATGGCCTCCTGGTAATGGTTGATAACATATTCTGAAATCTAATTTCGTTGAAACTAGTGCTGTAGGAGTTTGATATATGGCTCTTCTTGGTTTGTTTTGAATTATTGGAAAATCCTTTTGGGATTTTGGCATTTTTTTTGTCCAATGTGCTTAGATACCTTTGTTTCTTCATCTTTAAATTTTTGAATCCTCATTCTTATCAACTGTTTCTTACTGTGTAGTTTGAGTACGGAACATCTGATATTTATACGTGCTTCAGATTTTAGGGTGATATCTGAATTCATATATAAATTTAAATAGATTTTTTTTAGGGTCTTGTACTTGATACTTTTAAGTATGTTCCAGGCTTCCAACTTTGGTTTTACGTCTTCTTCTCCCCATCATGTCAAGAGTCATCCTCATTCTCATCGTTCCTTGCAAAAGCGATGCATATTACATGTTTAATCTTTTCAGAATGTAGTTGATGAATATATGTAAATAATCACATGTAAAAGCCTTCCTGAATGAATATGGCTGCATATGTTCCCTAGAAAATCATGGTTATTTAGTCTGCCATTAATGTTCATAGTTGAATTATTGTTGTTGCATCTATCTTGTAATGCTTAACTCATCTTAAATTTGTTTATCTTGCAGAGGTCGGGGTATGAAGTTTATCTACTAGAAGCTGAATACAAGGACCCAGCAGTGAGTTTCTTTCAGGGATTTGTTTATCTTTTCCATTATACTTTTGCATGCAAACTGGAGTATTTGGCCTGTCTCCTTATGTATTTAATATTTACAAGAGCATTACCTTACGTCCAATTCTCATCGCATACGGAACTAATTATATATCATATAACTTCACTGGCTAGTCGTAACTTAAACTCAGACAGCGATTATATGGTTTTGAATTTCAAAACCAGCAAGAGGGGAAACTAATGTGAGCTAGGGATATCATTCAATATATTTCCTCTTTCTTGTGGGTCTCAGGGCTGTGCTGCAAGGAATGTTCATGGTTTCACTCAAAACGAAATTCATGAGATGGCTAGGCGATGGGAAGAAGCCCCATCTCTTTATATGAAGCTAGACATCAAGGTATCAGCTGTGTTTGTTGTTCTTCATATATGAAATGTTCAGTTTAGATGAAAATTGGTTACCCAAGTTGTTATGTCAAATGCTGTATTGTAACATTCGTACTGATTACATGTCAGTCGTTACTCCGTGGAGATGACTTGGAGGAAAACGGGATTCAAGAGGTAATTTCATGGTGTATATAGATGTTTGTATTTCCTATATCTGTTTGTAGAATTTGTTAAACAAAACGAATCTGTGGTGGACTGGGAAAGTAACTCAAGTCTCATTTGATTGCATACCTATTGGGAGCTGCTGCCTTTATCTAACTTGCATAGATCTGCAACTTTTGGCACGGATAGTAGTCGCCTTTGAATGTGAATAAATCTTGCAGGTTGACATGGATACAGAAGATGACAATCATGTTGGTGGCACTTCTGGTTCCATGGGAACAAATGTAGAGAAAATTGCAAGACCTTCGGATGGCGATCTTACCTGTGAAGGTATTTTATTTATCCATTTATCTCCATTCCTCTTAATGGTCTTTGATATTTTTTTTTTATTTTTTATTTTTATTATTTTTTTTTTGGGTAAATTCGTACTGATATACTATCTGTCACAACGAAACTTGTGCTGGATTTGCCGAATACGTTCTCTAATTTTTCATTGCAGCAAATCTGAACAGATTTTATTTCAAATATATAATCAACCCCATTTTTTTTTTCCTTTTGCCTCAAACAATTACACCCTTTGATAGACTTCAAATGGGAGGGTACCTATTTTGTCTGATAAAGTTTTCTTTGTTTTAATAATTTAGCTCCATTGAAAGACGAAGAGAAAACGGATGATGTACAAGAGCATCAACTTGAGGTGGTGAAAGAACTTGGTAAGAGTAAATGGTCGAATGATTTGGACGAGGATGACCTCCATAAGACTGAGACTACAATGGGTAGTAATTCAATTGTGCTTTCTGGTTTAGTTAAACCATACAGCAAGAAAGGTAAATCTGTGCGTTGGGCGGATCAGGTATGATTCTATCTTTTTTATTCATGATTTATGTTTGCTGCTCATCGTGTTATTACTTGTTCGACTAAGAGCTTATATGATTTTATGCATAGGTGTTGTGTAAAAGATTTAGTGTTTGAGTGTTACTCAGCCATACGCGTAATAATAAATGGTTTTCCTCTTTTCTAATACATATATGAGGTGGTGTGAGAATTTTGAACCGTGTGCTTTGCAAATATGGGCAATTTAGTTACTGTCAGTGTGTGTCGTCTGGGGATAGTAATGACTAGCAATATAAGTTTAATCACTTACTGGATTGTGACTACTTTTAAGGTGTACCCAAAACATCTTCCCCATAAAAACAGCATTCGTTACTTGGACGAGTGCTTATATGAGCTAAATTTTTCACAAAGATTTCTTGATTTATTATATAGAACAATAGAAGCGTAAACAATCACTCATTATGATTCAGGATATCTTATTTCTAACCAAATCTCCAAGTATCTCCACCATTTTTGGGTTTTTGGTGATGGAATTATGTTTTTCTATATCTGTAACTTTTTTTTCCAGATTGGAAGAATCGGTTTCTCAATCGGTGGTGGAAAAGCAGCGAATGTGTCTTTAATCATTGGTGCCGGGTCCGGATATAACTCGGTGAGATGAGATGCCTCCTATAGCTGATAACTTACTAATTTAATAATATTTAATTACCTTAATCGTTCTTTTTCCTTTTCTTTTTTCATTACGTTCCAACTAGTATGAAAAAAACATCTGTTCTTACAACAAAGTTGATAAAATCCCCAACCCACGCACCCCATGGGAATTGACCCTGAGATTGCTTGCTCGGAAAAGAGGCCCTCAACCCTTTTTTTTTTTTGAAGTGTGTTTTATTACTTAATGTTTATCCTTACAACAACTACAGAAATCAAATCCCCTGCCTGAAGAAGAGAAACTCGGCCAAAGAAATGGAGAGTTAAGAAGGCGCAACGTATTCCAAGAACGATTACGTGCTGAGAGCGAGTCGTTCAGGGCCGTTTTTGATAAAAGGAGACAGCGTATAAGTGGGCTCCACGTGGATTACCAATGAGAGTTGTGTTCAGGGCCCTTCCTCATTTTTTTTTTTGGGCAATTTGCCGTGTTGTAAATAGCAGCCCCATGTTGTGATTTGTTATAGCGAATGCGGAGATATAACTGCAGGTTGAGTGGCAATGGGTGAGCGACATTACTCTCGCTGCCCAACATTTTTGTTCTTCTTTTTTTTTTTTCTTTAATTATTATTAAAGAACACCACAAAACTGTACCCTCACTTGGACTCTAGTGAGCATAGAGTGTATTTTATGTGAGAAATTTGTGTGTATCTTTTATGTTGCTTGAAGCTAGACTGCTCTTTTGTTCTTTTGAGTTTTGACATTGGCCGTCATATGAAGATCTTGTTCGAATTTTTGCAAGATCAGGCATTGTTATTTTTTTTTTTTATTTTTTTTTGTCTGACA